TTTTCACCTTTTGAGATTTAACAGTTTATAATCTGCGTGATTGCTGCTGATCTCTTAGTCTTTCATGGTCTTTGCTTATGTAGAATCCTCCTTCCATTCCAACCTTAGTGGCTGTAAAATTGGCAAGTTCACTGAGAAAGTCTGCGTTTATTGTTGATTGGCATAATTTTGGATACACGTTGCTCGGTTTGTCCCTGGGAAGAAGTAGTCGCTTTGTTTCAGTATACCACTGGTACCAATAAAGTTGATCTCTAAACTTCACTTTCTTTTTTATGACAGCTCGTTAGCTATATAACAGATGTGACTATTCTTTTCTTAGGTTTGAGAAGTATTTTGGGAAGATGGCAAATGGTGCTCTGTGTGTAACACAGGCAATGCAACATGAATTGGCTCAAAACTGGGGAATCAAGTAAGATGGTCAGCTCACAGTCACAGTTTGATTCTGTATTAGACTTTATGATGAAGTATTCTAATGGTGAGTTCTGGATTCTTGTGTCAAATTGATAGAGCTACTGTATTATATGATCAGCCTCCGGAGTTTTTCAATCCAACATCACTTGACGAGAAACATAAGGTAAATTACATTTCTTTTTCCGTGGTCAAATCCAGAATATATGGTTCAAAATATTATTCTAAATTGTGGATCACTTTTAGTTGTTTTATAGACTGGATAAGAATCTTTGTCAGCCTCTTGGTATTCAAGATTGTATCAATAATGGTAAGTTTCGTCACCCAATTATTCTGTAGTTCCTATTGGTTCATGGATTGTAACAGGACAACTTGTTACCTTTATATTTACACTTTTAGGGATCGGGAGCCCCCACACAGATGAGACTCTGTTTACAACTCAGTCTGGCACTGCTGTTTTCTTAAAGCCTAACAGGCCAGCTCTTGTGGTAAGCAGTACGAGCTGGTGAGTTCATCTTTTTGTGAAATTTTTTTAATGATATAAACACTTAAATACTTATTTACTTGGTTTGCATGCCCTTTATTCATGCTTGCTGCTGTGCCTTTATCAGTTGCCATGTTTATGATATAAAAGCTGTTTTGCATATCATATTATGTGTGCTAAGCTTTTTATGAGTTTTTAATATCTCATTGACTTTCTTGTTCTGGTTCTGTATAAAATCTCTCTATCTTCTCCTCTTCTGGCTCGCTAATAAGTAATAAGCCTCAGAAATATGTGTATATGGCTCATAAACATTGAGGGAAGGCCCCCATTTATGATTTAAATATGTTGTGTATGATTATGCTGGAGAGGACCTGGTTTATTATTATTGTTATAATAGTTGAAGATGGAAGGCAGTATATCTACTTTTAGAGTTTTCCTCATAATAAATATTTCACTAAAGAAAGTGGTCATAACTAATTTTAAAATTCGATTATTGAATGTTGGCTCTTATACTAAAATTTTGCAGCAAACGTATGCAAGATAGTGCAAGGTTGCCTATTCTTCTATCATTTATGGCCATATTTATTATAAACCTATGATTCATTTGTGCAGCTGATGCATGTGAATCTCATTCAGTGAGTATGATTGATTAGTTTTTGATTGGACTATACTGGTGTAATAATAGATGAATCACAATGAGTATAGAATATAGAAGTGCTCAAGGTGGATCAATTTTGTTCTTATGGTGCTACTATTACTGATAACTTGCTTTATGGTGTATTCAACTAGTTTAGAAGGATTCAAACACTATCCGGTTTTTCAACTAGGTTAGAAGGATCCCATTAATATTTGCTGATTCCATATCTGAATGCATATATGGCTGCTGCTTGTATGTGTTTACCCGGAAAGTTAAATGTACTATGTCTGCAATGACATGATATCATCTACTTTTGACAAAAATATGGCGAGACAGGCTATTTATTTTAGATAATGACATGTTTTTTCAGGACTCCAGATGAAAATTTTGGCATTCTGCTGGAAGCAGCTGTGATGTATGATAGACGTGTTGCAGCAATATTGAATGAAGATGATTCAACCAGTGAAGAGATTCTTTGGAAAGAAATTTCTGATGAGAAGCAATGCTTGTACCCTAGGTTATTGTTTATCATCACTGGTATAATTCTGTTGCTTCTTATGCAATGTTAGCATCCACATGGACACCTAGTCACTTGAGATTTTTTTTTTTCCTTGACGAAGGCAAAGGACCTGAGAAAGAAAAATATGAAGAGAAAATCAGGAGGTTACGCCTTAAACATGTGGCATTTCGTACCATGTGGCTCTCAGCTGAGGATTATCCATTGCTTCTTGGTAGGTTATGTATTTTTAATTTGTTTATAATTTCTTGGGGAATCTCCCCCCTCCAAACAAGAAATAAAATGCTTTGTAGGTTTTTATTTCTTTTTACTGTTCTCTATTTCTTGTTTATTTGTTAATTTTATTGTCTTTCTCAATTACAGGATCAGCAGACTTGGGTGTTTGTCTGCATACATCATCATCGGGGTTAGACCTCCCAATGAAGGTGTGTTATTATAGAGTTTAAGTTATAGCTTGAAGTTTTACAGCGTACTTGTGGTAAGAATAACGTTGTTGTTTAAGCAATCTCTCATTTTACCAAATTCACTAAAATGATCTCTTATTGGCTACCAGGTAGTGGATATGTTTGGTTGTGGACTGCCTGTTTGTGCTGTTTCCTACTCTTGGTGAATCCTTGTTTCTTATCTTTGATCACTCTGCATATGATGCATACTTTCATGGTTTTATGTTGTTTGGATGCTACATTCTCCTTAGTAATAGTAATGTTGCTTTGATCTTTATGAAGCATTGAAGAACTTGTTAAAGTTGAGAAAAATGGCCTTCTTTTTTCATCATCTTCAGAGCTAGCTGATGAACTTCTGGTAAGTTTGTTTGCTTCACTAGCATAAGTGCTTGGATTGTTTTCGGATGGATACTTAAAGTTTTTCCTAGTTTATCTTTGAAGATGCTCTTTAAGGGTTTTCCGGATCAATGTGATTCTCTGAAGTTGTTGAGAAATGGTGCATTGGCAACGGGTTCTTCTGCAAGGTGGGCTACCGAGTGGGAAGAGCATGCCAAGCCATTAATATCAGAGGCAAGTTAACTGTCTCATATAGATGTCCATAATTTTATGTGTGATCTATTTTTAATAATAATTTTATTCAGCAGATAAAAAATTTTCATCCGGTTTCCCTTGACACTGCATAGAGGCTAAAAATACAAATTGCTCTAATAATGTTTAACCGTTTAGTTGAAATGCGTCATTTTCACCTTATCCAAGTGCTTGTATTTTCTTGTAAATTTGGTAATTCTTATGAAACTAAATAGAGGGGTTTGAACCTGCAGGTTATCTCTCAGTACACGAACTGACATCTGATTTCAGCTAGAACATATGTAAAGCTTACAGAGGAAATTTTACGATACCAGGTGATGCAGATACCCGTTATGTGTCAACGATTAGAAAAGGATGAATAGTTTTGGTTAATGATACTTTGCCGTTATCTAATTTCTTAACTCCCTGGTGTAATGATACTGTATCTGTATTGGAAAATGACAATCCCTTGGGAAGACACCAAATTGGATGAGTTGTATTGTATTTGATTGTGGTGCTGACTTATGTGTTCCTGAGAAGAGGTGTCGATATCGATTGGGAGTCAGGTTCTATTTTATATTTTTCTAATGTCTATAGATTGTGATGAGTGAAATTGAAAATAAAATTTTGATTAATCAATAACAGAATTTCTGTTTTTCATTTCTAGTTTTGACGTGGAATTATTTGAGTGAAATGTGCAGCAATAGAACACAACTGCTATGAATGCATAATATCCGGTGAATCATCAGCTGCATTGCAACTGAAGTACCCTTTTTTATCCAATTTGGAAATTGTTTTACTATTTCTGTGCTCTGTTTTAAAAACCGGACCGGACCGGCCGGTCGGACCGGTTGGACCGTGAACCGGTAGCTTCTCCGGTCCGGTTTAGGTCTCAGGGGGGTTTTTGAAATATTTTAAAATTATGAGGGTTACTTTGTAATTTTATAGGGGTATTTTGAGGATATATCAAAAGTTTAGGGATTAATTGGTAATTTTATTGGGGTATTTTTGGAATAAATAAAAATTTTAGGGACCAATTTAAACTTTTTAGGGAAATTTTTGTAATATATTAAGATTAAAGGGGTTAATATGTAATTTTTTAAAAATAAAATATTGTTGACGTCATCGGTCCAACCGACCGGTCCAACCGGTTGGACCGATTGAACCGTGACCCGGACAGCAAAACGGTTTGCCCTCCGGTCCGGGTTTTAAAACAATGTTTCTGTGACGAAATAAACTTATAACACTTTTTCCATGTTTACTGTTTTTGTTATTTTTACCTTCCCATAAAACTGCTATAATGGAAGTAAAAGGTTTTTTATTTTTTATTTTTTAAATAAGAATATTTTATATATGCATGACTTATTTATATAATTTGTCGTATCACAAAATGTGTTTATAAAAAGTTAATTCAGCAAATATAAATAAATAAATAATATATCATTCAAAAAAATTATATCATCGGTTTATACTTTATATACGCGTTACTCTTTTAATAAATAATTGAAGGAGGGGTTAATAAACTATTTCGAAAATATTTTATAGGTGAAAGTTATTATGAAATGATTTAATCTACCATTCTTTATTGTATTTATGGATCCTCTTGTTGGTTTTCATATTACATTACACTAGTGGCAAATCCAGCGACTGAAAGAGAAAGAAATACATGTACAAAAGAAGGGATTCATTTTTATTTTCTTTTCGATTTTGATAAATTTTATTACTTTGATTAATTAAGACAATATCTTTACCCTTAAATTAAAACATCAAGTTTTACCTTTTATGAGAGCGTATATTGAGCAAAATGGGTGTGGAAAAGAATTCTGATTTATAATGTTAAGTAGTGAGGGTGTTTTTGTTATTTTTAGAACCCACTGGAGTTAAAAAATTTTATCTACTGTAGAAAAATTATCTCTTTAAAAACATAACTTGAAGCCCGAAACAAACGTGATTATAAGTTTATAATTAGCCGTTCCCTGCACTTTGAGCTTTCTTTTTCCGCCCTAATTTTTCAGCCAAACGAGAAAATTAGAATCCCTATTCTTTCGTTGCCGCCATTCGAGTCGCAACCAAATGATGGAAGAGGAGACGGTGATGGAGAAGAAGAAGAACAAAGGAAAGCACGACAAACCGAAGCCATGGGACGAAGACCCCAACATCGACCGTTGGAAGATCGAAAAATTCGATCCTTCTTGGAACGAAGGCGGCATGCTCGAAGTTAGCTCCTTCTCTACTCTTTTCCCTCAATACAGAGGTAATAATTTACTTTTCTTACGAGCTTAGACGGAAGTAGTTTGAAAATTGTTTAATAATCAAGATAGTTTCTTGTTAATTTATTTATTTATTTATTTATTTATTTTTTGACTTATGGGATTTTTTGTATTTTTTTTTTAATAGAAAAATACTTGCAACAAGCATGGCCTATGGTGAAAGGTGCTTTGAAAGAGTATGGTGTTTCATGTGAGCTAAATCTGGTAATTTTTTTTTTTTTTTTTTTTGGGCTAAGAGGTTATTCGTCGGAGCACTTAGATTAAATGATTAATTGATAGTGAGTTGCTAATCTTAATATAAAGGCAGTTGATTATGTTCTACTTCAATATTTTGTTCTGATGAAGGATTTTCTCTTGTTTGTTTATTGTTTTGAAAGATATATGCATATGAGTTTGTTGAAATGTTGGTATCCTATCTTGCCTTTTAGAGGTATAAACCTTATATTGAAAGTGAGTTAAGATATTGGATGGAGAACTCTGTGTATTTGCTATGCAATCATTGAGGCAAATATATTATGTATGTTAAGTGATGGAAGTTTGACCTGGTTTTGATGACTTATTTTTTGGAAGTTTCTCAAAGCTTTGTTTTATTTGTTTATTTATTTTTGTTTGGGACTTTTGGAGATGGGGCATACTGGGGGTTATTTTCATACCTTTGATTTTATTTTCTAGAATCAGCTTAGCCTTAGTTTTACGCATAATATATTTTTACATTGAGGTCCATTTTTCTTCTTCATTGCCTTGATGGTGTGTATTTGTACTTGTGGTTTTGGATGGCAATAACCTATCTCCATTTTTTCACTTCATTTCCCTAGTTTTCTCTAATTTTTCCCAATTGACAATGTTCTCAATGTGTATATTGTTTTTCTCTGACTTGTTTGTTTAATTTCTGGTCAGGTTGAGGGCTCCATGACTGTCTCAACAACTAGAAAGACTAGGGACCCTTATATTATTGTGAAAGCCAGGGATCTTATTAGACTTTTGTCAAGAAGTGTTCCTGCACCTCAGGTATAAATATCTACTTTCTATGCTTCTGTTTTCAGTTCCTTTTATTCTTAAACTTTTTAATGAATTTTTTTTAGGAAGTCTGAAATAGTTGTTGGAATATTAGTTGTTCTCAGTACGTTATCTCTATCAATGACAGGTGCTAAAATTATCTAATATCATGAACAGTCTCAATGCCTTGAAATGACCACAGCTAAAATTATCTAATATCATGAACAGTCTCATTGTCTTTAAATGAGAGCCTCAGACTAACAACAAAACAAAGTGAACAAAATATTCCTTTACTGGTTTACATTCATCAAGTTCAGTAGAGCAAAAAACTCAAAAACAACTATATTTTGGAAAACAGATGTTCCCTTCCACTTCTTGTTTTAGTCCTGTTGATGGTTTGTTAAGACCTATGCTCACAACCTTGCACAGCAAGCTCACAACAACCTTGTTTTGGTCTTGGCCTCCTTCTGAAAGTTGCCACCCACCCTAGCCTGACTGCCTGTGGTCATAATGACACTTTCCTGAGAAGCAAGGTTGCCCTCTTTCTTATACTGTTTAACTTCCTGCGGTCCCTGCTCTTGCATAATGTCTTCTTTGACTTGCTAACTTTCACCATGGTTGAAGTGGTGAGAGAAGAGGGCTCTTTTCTGATTCTAAAAACTCTTGGGTGAACTTTGTTGTTCTAATTTCAGTTGCTGTAGTGAATTTTCTTGTATCTTGATGATGTAAACTCTTAGCTAATGAACTATATGAACCTCTACTATTTCATGGTGCAGATTTCTCATCTGGGAAATTTTTGTATTAGTTCTGATTTAGTAATCAACATTATTTTTATGTCATAGGCAATCAAAATACTTAATGACGAAGTGCAGTGTGACATCATCAAAATTGGCAACTTGGTCCGCAATAAGGTTTGTACTGCTTAAATCACCTGATGTTGCTGGTTTAATGTGTCAATCATATTTTTTTGAAAATTGAGAAGATATTTAATGAAGCTGTTTGTTAGTTGTCCTAATTGGTAGGTTTCACTGAATGTTGCTTCAATCCTAGTGTTAAGCCTTCAATGGCCAACAAATGTATAATCATGTTCCAAAACTTTTAGCATCTGGTGATGACATGTCAAAGTTGTTACAGGTTAATGTATCAATCATATTTGTTTGAAAATTGAGAAGATATATAATTAAGATATTGAATGAATCAATCCTGTTGTTAAGCTTTTGATGGCCGACAACTGCATCATCATGGTTTAAAAACTTTATGCATCTAGTGATGACATCTTACAATTGTTAGAAGTTTTGTAATGGGTAATGAAATAGAAAATAAAAGCAGAATGCCTTGAGTAGTTGAAAATGGGTGTTAAGATTTTGAGATTTGAGAATACTGAAATTAGGGTTTACAATTTCATAGAACTTGTGATATATGAGGACATAAAGAAGAGAAAAAATATTTGCCTCACAGTTATCAAATTTTAAGAATCGCTTGTAGAGTCAAAGAGTACACTCAACAGGGTTTTGGAGTTCAAAAACTGCTGCAAAATTTGATAATACTCCACTTTGATTTTTAGAAGGCATTAAACTTGCTTAAGTATATAAAGTCATAGCAATTGAACGTGTGAAAAATTATGTAGACCCGTACAAAGACCGTAATTTATTGATAGAATAAAAAAATTAAAGATGAGAACACCCTATAACCCTATTTAATGGGAGCCTCATTTTAAACTTTATTTCTTTTTATCAATATCCTATCAAAAAAATTAATAAAAATGGAAAAGTAGCATAATGTGAATGTAGAAAGCTAAAAGGACCGTCCTTGTTAATCGTTATAAAGAAACAGAGGTTATCAATGAAAGTAACCTGTTGGTTGAAATATGTAGAATCTTAGGTTGCTATAAAGTCTGCTAGTCTATACCTATGATAAGTCAAGGGGTAACTTTTGTCATGCTTTTCCAAACCTGCAATATTCAAATTTCATCAACGTTGCCTCTGTTTGCAGGAACGATTTGTTAAACGGAGACAGCACCTTGTGGGCCCAAATTCTTCTACTTTAAAGGTATTTATAGTTGAATTTGTCATTTTATTAGTCTATTTAAAACCCTGTGCCAACCCAAACCTCGTCTATACTACCAAAAAAGAAGGGGAAAAAAAAAAATTAGAACTGCAGGTGATGTTTGAGCATCATTCCTCTGACATGCAATGCTGTTAGATATTTGTTGAATTCTCTTTTAACCGCCTTATTTTCCTTTTGGATGTAGGCGCTTGAAATATTGACGGGCTGCTATATCCTTGTTCAGGTAATTGTTACTGTTCTTTTAAATTTGATGTTAAAATGAAAATTCTTTTTGATGGTATGATAGAAGTAGACAAGCAATTTGTAATTGAATAGGGAAACACGGTTGCTGCTATGGGTTCATTTAAAGGTTTGAAGCAAGTCAGGAAGATTGTGGAAGATTGCATACAGAATAAAATGCATCCTGTATACCATATCAAGGTGTGCTTGGGTGGTGTTATTTGTTTCTAATATAATTGTTGTTCTCTTTTAATAGTTTGAAAATTTAGTTGCTTATCTTTTGACATTGGAATCTGTTAATGTTACGTCTCTGACTCACTCTTTCCCCACTCTTTGCGGAAACATGTAGATTCTCATGATGAAGAAAGAACTCGAAAAAGATCCAACACTTGCAAATGAAAATTGGGATAGATTTCTTCCAAAGTTTAAAAAGTATGATATATCTTTTTAACGCATCTTATGCTGTTTGATGTTTCTAATTTTTCATCATTGAAATTAACATGAATAACTTTTTCAGGAAAAATGTCAAGCAAAAGAATGTCAAGAGTAAAGAGAAGAAACCGTACACACCCTTCCCTCCTCCTCCACAACCTAGTAAGGTGAGACGACTGTTCTTCCACAATATTACCAATGTGTTCCCGTTAGGAATAAGTGGTGGTTTTTTTTCTTCTCTTTGACTTCCACTTTTTGTTGTATCTCACTATTTTTTTTTTCCGTAAAATTTTCGTATAAGTTCACAATCTGGGGCAAAAATAGTTTTAGAATGAAATTATTTCTTCAACCTCAAGGTTGCTTTTATGTATTTGTCCATTGCTCTGTGAATGGAGACACCAGCTTTCTTGTTATGGTTCTTTCTTTTAAACTAGGCATTTATGGAAGTTATTGTATTGAACTTGACTGCTTGTGTCTAATTGGATGCATATGTTGTTCCTTGCATATATTTAAACCCTGCAGTGTCATTGTTTTGTCACTTTTCTTTTAGTCAATTTGTTTCGCTTTAAAAATACATTTCTATACATTGTTGAACTATTTTCTGTTGTATTTGCAGGTTGACAAACTACTGGAATCTGGAGAATACTTTCTTAGTGAGAGAAAGAAAGAATCAAAGAAGTGGCAAGAGAAAAAGGAGAAGCAAGCAGAAAAAACAGCTGAAAATAAAAGAAAAAGAGAAGCTGCATTCATTCCTCCTGAGGTATTCTAAGGCTCTTTCATTCTGTTTTCTCCTTATCTGAAGAACTTCTGTGCCCCTCTCTCTCTCTCTCCCTTTCTTTATTTTTTCACTATAACCTATAATTTCTTCTTTTGCATTTTGCTATTTTCAGGAAACCTCAAAGCAGGATTCTCGTAATCATGAGGATCAGAACAAAGATGTTGCTGCTATGGCCATGTCACTGAAGGTAAATAATCAGAAATTATTTAACATTAGGTACATCTATATGTATGTGTATGCTGGAGCATTTGTTAAATATCATGAGTAATGAGGCAAACCTCCACAATTCACCCTTCATCGGGCAAAGTGGATATGTATTTATGTTTACTTCTATTTGCATGTATGTCACAAGTTGTTTGATTTGCAGGAGAAGGCGAAGAAGTTGAAAAAGCAGAAGTCTGCTGAGAATATCAATGCTGAAGAATATATTGCAGCATCTGGAGAAGAATCGTCAAAAAAGAAGAAGAAATCGAAACATTCTTAATCTAGATTAGGCACAATGATGATCTGATAACGTGTAGGGATTAGAGTTTCTGAAGTTAATTTTCTTAGCTGTATGCCATGTTTCTTATTTGTCCAGAATGGTCTCACTGCTCTAGAAAATCTGTATTTATCTGATTCAGGGATATGTCTCTATTTTGGTGTTTAGACTACAATCTAATGTCCAGTGTAATCGTAGTGGATTTTACATTGTTTATTTGGTAAAACCAGATAAACTAAAGAGATGAATTGTTGATTTAACAAGAAGTATTGTTTTGAACTTTTCCAAGAGGTAGAGAAAGGAAATTGAGGAAAATTTGTGATCAAAAAATTGAACGTTGTTTGTGACTGTGTGTCATGACTTTAAAGCAAGGGTGAACTCATTTCCACCCCTTATCTTGGTTTTTAGAAGCTAATATTAGACCTAAGAAACTAATAGTATGACCCTTAGTGTAGTCTCTGTCCATCTTTATCATATTTATCAACTATGACCATTTTTTACATTTGTTATTCATTATCAAAAGAATTACGGTTTAATAAAAGTTTAAAAAGTCTCAAATTAATTAAAAATTTTAAACTATAGTAGAACACGCTAAATTATTAAATTGACTTACACAGAATCCATATTTATTTCTTTTTTATTTAAGAAAAATAATTACATCAATTCAAGAGTTGTTACCTGTTCAACAAAGGGTTTATGTCTAAATAATGGAGAAAACTAATTTGATGGAAGGAACAAGAGAATAATAATAAATTAAAGTCTTTGAAATAAAATATTAAAATACAATACTGTGATTTTGTGAAACGGAACTTCGCTTCATGCCTTTTATCTTGTTGATTTTTATTACAATTTTATCTTTCTAAATATTGAGTAAAATAATATATTTCAAATAATATCTCAAAATTTTAATTTCGGTGATATCTTCTTCCAATGACATAATCTGTAGTGATTTGACATGGATTATAATTATAGTTGGAGTCATAAAATTGATGTGAAGTAGATTGAGTTATGACACTTTATATTGAACCCTAAATGTTTTCGCTTTCACGAGATTAATCATATTTGATTTCTTAAAGAAAATATATAATAATCTCTACAAATTTTAAAACTCAATCATTTAATAATAATTTCATAATTATTTGTTTACATACATATTTATTTATGATACATTAATCTTTATTTAAGAAAATGGAAAATTTATCTTATAATCCTTTTCATTATAAAATTTTCTCTAACTATGTTAACTAATATATGTGTAAGAAGAGGGATAATAACAATCTTGTCCTTGAGGTTTGTACATGTAACAATATAGTCTAAAAAGTTTTTAGTAATTTTCATTCCTTGTTAAATGTTAATGCTAGTACACATTGGTTCTTACTTAGGTTGTTTTTAGGGTAAGCACGGGTAGCGGTAGAACCGGAACAAGAACCAAAACCTACCCAAAACCGGTATTGTGTGAGTAGGTTCCGTTTTCAATTTTTTGGAACCGATACTGTCGTTTCCGGTTCTGATTCTTGTGTGGTGAGACCGGAACCGGAACCTGTAAAAAGGTACCCTGTTTGGAACCTGTAAGGGGCAGCTGGTTTGAATCTATTTTAGAACCTGTTTGGAACCTATTTTGAAACCTATTTTAGAACTTGTTTTGGAACCTTTTTTGAAACCTAGACTACAATGAATATTTGTGAAATGTGAATATGAAGGTTTCTATATTTTACATATAAACAAATTTAAAATAGAAAAAGATAAATTTTTAGAATATCTAATTAAATAAATATACGAATACAATTAAACTTATTACATATAAATTACACCATATTAAAAGCTTAATATATTATAACATTAATATTAAAGTTTTGATTAATTAAGTGAATAATTGGAATTATGATCCAATTAAAAAGTGTTTTACATTTTTAATGTTATTAAAAAAATTATTTTTGAATAAAATAGTATATTGATTGAGTAATAATATATTTAGTTATTTACTTCAATTATCAAGTTCTAAGTATATTTTATAAATTAGTATTAATTAATTATATAGATAAATTGATAAACATTAATAAATTTAATTACTAGTTAAGTATCATACTTAATCAATTATAACATTACATTTAGTTAAATGATTACTTAATTAATTAAATTTTATAATATTACTTAATTGATTTATAGTATAATTAATTATAAATTACATAATTGATTACTACTTAATTAATTCACTATAAGTTATAACATTAGTATATTAGTATTTTAAATAATTAGAAATTTAATTAATTATAGCATTACATTATAGATTTATAGTATATTATTTAGTCGTTATAACATTTTATTATAACATTAATATAAATTTAATTAAATGATTAAAAATTTAATTAATTATAATATTACATTAAAAATTTATAGTATGATTACTTAATAGTTAATTCACTTAACATTACATTATAGTATGATTATATAATTAATTATAACATTACTATTAAATAATTACTTAATTGATTATGATATTATATTATATAATATACTAATTACTAATTTACTACATAATACTTAATTAAAGTATTAGAAATTTATTAATTACAATATTACATTATAAATTATAGTACGATTATGTATTAATTGTAACATTACATTATAATTAAATGATTACTTAATTAATTATAATATTCTATTATAAACAAATTAATTATAATATTATATTAAAGACTTATAGATAATTACTTAATTAATGGTAACATTTCACTATTTCATTATAGTATGATTAGTTGATTACATAATTAATAACATTACATAATTAGATGATTATTTAATTGATTATGACATTATATTATAAATATTATTATAACATTTACATTACATTATATTATGATCACTTAATTATTATAGTATTACATAGTTAAATGATTACTTATTAGTTATAAATTTATATATCACATTATAAACATTAGTAATTTACTACATTATTATTTATTAAATTACTTAATTAAATTATTAAAATTGTATTATATAATATATATATAGATAGATCTGTAATCTGATTACTTAATTCACTATAACGTTAGGTATGATCACATATTAATTATAACTTACATAATTAAATGATTATTTAATTAATTATGAGTTATGATATTGGTTTTAAACATTAGTAATTACTAATTTACTACATAAACATTAGCACAATATTTAATTAAATGATTAGAAATTTAATAATTATAACATTACCTTGTAAACATTCATTATAAACATTAATTAACACTTACTAATAGTTAAATAATTACTCAATTAAATTATAACATTATTATTTACATTATATTATGATCACTTACTTAATTATAACATTACATAGTTAAATGATTACATAATTGTTATATTTATAACATTACATTTAAACATTAGTAATTTACTATATTATTACATTATTTAATTAAACGATTAAAAATTTAATTTTATAACATTACCTTATATATTTATATAGGATTACTTATACACTTCTATTATAACCATTAGTATATTAATTAATGATTTGAAATTTAATTAATTATAATTTAAATTATAGATTTATAGTATGATTACTTAATTCATTATAACATTACATTATACTATTATAGTATGATCATATAATTAATATAACATTACATAATTAAATAATTACTTAATTGATTATGACATTATATTATAACATTAGTTTAATTTTAATTTACACAATACTTAATAAATATTTGAATTTTATTAATTATACATTACATTATAAATTTATGGTATGATTACTTAATTAATTATAACATTCTATTAATAATATTACAATACTTAATTAAATGATTAACAATTTAATTAATTATAATATACATTAATTAAACCCTAAACCCAAATAGTATATTTGTTAGGGGTGTATTTATAAACTTTTAAGGTATTTTTGTTATTTTTTAAACTAAGAGGGTAATATTTTTACAGGGTACCCCGGAAGGAACCGGAACCTGCATTTAGGTTGCAGTTCTTGAATTGAAGAACCTGTATAGTGCGGTTCTGATTTTTTTTTTTGGGAATCTGCACTGTGCGATTCTAGTTATGGTTCCCCCGGAAAATGGAGGGTTCGGAACCGCTCACCCCTGGCCGTTTGTTGATAACACTATAATAGGACCAAACGTGGCTGATGTGGATTGAAATGTAACTAAAAATTCTAACAGATTATTAACCAAACCTAAGGATGAAATTGTTATTTTCCCCTAAGACGACTTCTTCTATTTCAAGATTTGACTTAAAGCAACTTGTAATTATTACAGTCTTGATGTAGTAAATATTGTTCAAGTAGTTACAACTTCAAAACTCTCACATTTATGGGTCCAGGTAATACAGTATTTGACAGTGATAACTTTATAGTTTAGAATATGGGTAAGTTAAAAAAAAAAAAAAAAAAAAAAAAAAAAAAAAAAAAAAAAAAGGGTCTTACTAAATCATCCTTAACTCATGAAATAAAAAAATCGTCACAAGACTGTCTCATCACATTAGTATAATGATTTGGAAAAATTGTGTTTTTTTTTTAAGAAAGAGAATGTTAAAATTGAAACGGGTTTAAGGTTAATAAATGTCGTCAACTATAATTGGAGAGCATAGGGTTCAATTAAAAAAGTAAAATCTTCCAATTTTAAAGCCGATGAAACTTTATCTTGAATTCTAATTTTTTTTTTAATTCCTCCATTAAAATTCATTACAAATATTTCATAGCATAACAAAATTTTTCAACAATTTGTCAAAAAAAAAAAAAAAAAAAGAAAAAAGAATCCCCTTCAAATAAGACAATTGAGAAAAAAAAATAAACATGAGATTTTTTCTTAATCGGGCTTCGGCTGGACCATAAAGCCCAGCCCATAAAAGAAAAAAAACCCTAATGGGGGTATCCACGTCACGCGAGGGTTTCTAAACCGCATATACCTCTCTTACTATATCTACTCAACTTCGTATCCTACACACTCCCTGTTTTTCTCTGTCGCCGCCTTCAACCTCAAGGTTCGTTCTCTTCCTCTCCTCTTCTCCTTTCTCTTCTCGTCTTTTTTTTTTTTTCTTTTTCTTTTTCTTATTATCATCGCAAAAACAAATCGTTAAGTGTTTTAATATCTGCTCGTTTTAACTGTAAACTGATTCGATTCGTTTTTACTAACTTTTTCTCGATTGATCTGCGTGTGTCTATGTATCACGTGCTTCTGTGCTTAAAACTGAGCTTCTGATTGAGTTTTGTTTAAGGTTTTAGTGTTGTTTAGTTTGATTTTCTGTTACTGAAAGCTTTATATAGCTGAGTATTGATGACTGATTGTGTTTAGTAATAATTGGTTGGTTATTTGTTTAGATTTGAAGTTCTCTTCTGGTTTTTCGGGTGGGATTTTTTTTTTTTTTTTTTCGTAATATCTTGGTTTGCTGTGTTGTAATATTTGTAATAGTTGCTGCAAGTAATGGATCTGATGTTTTGTTGATGTTAAAAAAGGGAATACTGATCTGGGTGTGTTGACTTTTGATTTTTTAAAGCAAAAATATTTTTACTTTTGATGCTTGGAGGAGATTGCTTCGAATTTTATTTGAAGATCTCTAATTTTCTGTTGCTCATGTTCATGTTAATGGTAGTATATTTTGGTCTCTTGATTTTGATTGTTATTTCATTAGATTTTGTATTGAGAGTTGTTAAAGTTATCTAGTTGTTCAAGTTTATATTTGTTATGCGTTTTTTTGTTTGTTATAAGCTTTGGTGAGAAAAATAAGTTTTTTAGTATGTTAAAGTTATCTGTTTTTTTACGGGTAGTTGCTTCATGTTGTTCTGTAATTATCTTGTTTTCTGATTCTCACTATCAATATGTTTTTTTTTTTTTTTTTTTTTCCGTTTTGTTTCTTTTTGCGTGCTGGATAGAATTGGTGAACTTTGGTCTTGCTATTCTCGGTTTTTAAATCTCATTTTTTTTATCATTTTGGTGGGCAGGAAAGAATATTTGTTGGTGACATTTAAGGATCAGACAAGATGGTGAAGTTCACAGCTGACGAGCTTCGCCGAATTATGGACTACAAATACAACATCCGTAATATGTCTGTTATTGCCCACGTGGATCATGGTACGAGCTGTTATCCTTTTGGGTATATCTTATTGTTTCTAATGTAGTGTTGCACAGTATGAAATTTGAGTCCCAGGGAATTTATTGTCCCATATTTTGGTTACATATTGATTCTATTTTCCTTTTGGGAAAGGCTGTAATATATTGTATACTCGGTTTACTTTTGTGCTTCTGTGACCTACTTTTCTGAGGAGAGTTCCAGAACCTTCATCTGATGTTTATGTATGATGTAATTGAATTAATAAGTGGATAAGCGGTGAGGAGGTTGGTCATTATGGTCATGCTTGTTGGTCCTCAAAATTTGCTTCTTGAGATGGGGATCATAACCGAGCCTTTTAAAACTTATCCTTAGATGTTGGATGTTTGTTGTGCATCTGTGCTTGTTATCTGCATATTGTCACACATTTTTATTTGTGTAGATCCTAGCCCTGATACATTTCTTGACCTTGCAGGAAAATCAACGCTCACTGATTCCCTTGTGGCTGCTGCTGGTATCATTGCACAAGAAGTTGCTGGAGATGTCCGTATGACTGATACTCGTGCTGATGAAGCTGAGCGTGGCATTACGATCAAGTCTACTGGTATCTCTCTCTACTATGCGATGACTGATGAGGCTTTAAAGAGCTACAAGGGAGAACGCCAGGGAAATGAGTACTTGATCAATCTTATTGATTCCCCTGGGCACGTTGACTTCTCATCTGAAGTTACAGCGGCCCTTCGTATTACTGATGGTGCACTTGTGGTGGTAGACTGTGTTGAGGGTGTCTGTGTCCAAACTGAGACTGTGCTTAGACAGGCTCTGGGTGAAAGGATCAGGCCTGTCTTAACTGTCAACAAGATGGACAGGTGCTTCCTTGAGCTTCAGGTTGATGGAGAAGAGGCTTATCAGACATTCCAAAGAGTGATTGAGAATGCTAATGTCATTATGGCTACATATGAGGATCCACTTCTTGGTGATGTTCAAGTCTATCCTGAGAAAGGAACTGTTGCTTTCTCTGCTGGTTTGCATGGTTGGGCTTTTACCTTGACAAACTTTGCTAAGATGTATGCATCCAAATTTGGTGTTGATGAATCAAAGATGATGGAGAGGCTCTGGGGTGAGAACTTCTTTGACCCTGCTACGAAGAAGTGGACCACTAAGAACACTGGCTCTCCTACTTGCAAGCGTGGTTTTGTTCAGTTCTGCTATGAACCCATTAAGCAGATTATCAACACTTGCATGAATGATCAGAAAGATAAACTCTGGCCTATGTTGCAAAAGCTTAATGTCAACATGAAGTCTGACGAAAAGGACTTGATGGGGAAGGCATTGATGAAGCGTGTCATGCAGACATGGCTCCCTGCAAGTACTGCACTCCTGGAAATGATGATCTTTCACCTTCCCTCTCCTGCCAAAGCGCAAAAGTACCGTGTTGAGAACTTGTATGAGGGTCCCCTTGATGATCAATATGCTAATGCTATCAGGAACTGTGATCCTGATGGTCCTCTCATGCTTTACGTATCTAAGATGATTCCTGCGTCTGATAAAGGTAGGTTTTTTGCTTTTGGTCGTGTGTTCTCTGGTAAGGTCTCAACTGGTTTGAAGGTCAGGATTATGGGTCCAAACTTTGTTCCTGGTGAAAAGAAAGATTTGTATGTGAAGAGTGTACAAAGGACTGTTATTTGGATGGGAAAGAGGCAGGAAACTGTTGAGGATGTGCCTTGTGGTAACACAGTGGCCATGGTTGGTTTGGATCAGTACATCACGAAGAATGCTACCCTTACTAATGAGAAGGAAGTTGATGCTCATCCTATTCGAGCAATGAAGTTTTCTGTCTCACCTGTTGTTCGTGTGGCCGTTCAGTGCAAAGTTGCATCTGATCTTCCCAAGCTCGTTGAAGGTCTTAAACGTCTGGCCAAGTCAGATCCTATGGTTGTCTGTTCCATTGAGGAGTCTGGAGAGCACATCATCGCTGGTGCTGGTGAACTCCACCTTGAGATCTGTTTGAAGGATTTGCAGGATGATTTCATGGGTGGTGCTGAGATTATTAAGTCGGATCCTGTTGTGTCATTCCGTGAGACTGTCCTTGAGAAGTCTTGCCGCACTGTCATGAGTAAGTCCCCCAACAAGCACAACCGTCTCTATATGGAAGCCCGACCATTGGAGGACGGTCTTGCTGAGGCAATTGATGATGGTCGTATTGGTCCTAGGGATGATCCTAAGGCTCGTTCTAAGATCCTTTCCGAGGAGTTTGGTTGGGACAAGGATCTGGCCAAGAAAATCTGGTGTTTTGGTCCTGAGACAACTGGCCCTAACATGGTTGTGGATATGTGTAAGGGAGTTCAGTACTTGAATGAAATCAAGGATTCTGTTGTTGCTGGGTTTCAATGGGCATCAAAGGAAGGTGCATTGGCTGAAGAGAACATGAGAGGTATCTGCTTTGAAGTCTGTGATGTGGTTCTTCATGCTGATGCCATTCACAGAGGGGGTGGTCAGGTCATTCCAACTGCTCGTAGGGTTATTTATGCTTCCCAGCTAACAGCCAAGCCTAGGCTGCTTGAGCCTGTGTACCTGGTTGAAATCCAAGCTCCTGAGCAGGCCCTTGGTGGTATTTACAGTGTTCTTAACCAGAAACGTGGTCATGTCTTTGAGGAGATGCAGAGGCAAGGTACCCCGCTTTACAACATCAAGGCATACCTCCCTGTTGTTGAGTCATTTGGATTCTCTGGCACTTTGAGAGCTGCAACCTCAGGACAGGCTTTCCCACAATGTGTGTTTGATCACTGGGATATGATGTCGTCTGACCCACTGGAGGCGGGATCACAGGCTGCACAGCTTTGTACTGATATCCGTAAGAGGAAGGGCTTGAAGGAGCAGATGACCCCACTGTCAGAATTCGAAGACAAGCTGTAAGCAGCGTCTTTTTTTTGGCAAGGGATTAAGTTGCTGGCAAACTATTTAAAGCAGAAATTTTGCTGCCCTTGATTTTGTTTTGTTACTTTATATCGTTATATTTAGTATCCGTGTGTTCTATTGTAGTCACCGAAACTTGTGTTTATTTTGGTTTTAAGAGCTCTTCTTAGAGGAACAATGAGTAATGTTTTACCGTGTTATATTAGTCTGCTGTTTTGAACTATATTTCTTCCAATGACATTTCAGTTTTTGATGTTCAGATAATGTCTCTTAACTATTTTCTGTGTTTTGGAGGTGGGTGCTTTTATTATTTTGGATGTTATGATGAATGTCGATTGCAAGTAGTAGGAGCTTTCAAAGATTAAATTGGTAAATGTTGGTTCATTTCCTAGCTGTGCTGTGATCGTTTATTTATTTACTGTTCTTAATGCCGTAAATTGATGGTGATTGTTGTGGTTGCCATTATGGGTAATCTTGAAGGGGAACAATTTTTCCTTGCAATATAATCATGTTCTATGATTTGAGTGGCCGTTTCCTTGGTGGGATTTGTTTGATATGTCGGAATTCTGATTTTGAAGTTTTTAAAGTTAATCAAAGCTCTCAAAAGTTTGGCAAGTAAATAGATATCAAATCTTCAAAATCCCGTCTGGGTTCTTTCTGGTTTACAAAAGAAATTTGAAAAGGATGTCTTCCATACAGTTGAATATTTTTTGGAATTTGTAAACATAAAACAAATGATACTCGTTTTCTTCATCATGAATTTCTCACTTAAAAGAGCAAAAGTGCAAATGTAAAACAAATATTGCTTTTGTTCACCAATCACCATGTTTAGTTAAAACTTAAAAGACGGGAAAATTTACTTATGATATTAGTTACTTGTAGCTGAGCCTGAGAATAGATGCCTTGAGTTTATTTTCTAATTAATTCCTACCGAAATATTTGAAATCTTTGTTTTATATTTCGCTAGAACCCTTATAAAATGGACAAAAATATTAGGAAAAGAAACAACTCCCAAGTTCTTTTACCGAAAAAGTTTAGTAAAACAACTTGGAATTTTGAAGACCCTATTCTATCATGAAAATATATCTAAAATTTAGCCCTCAAAATTCTTGTTGCTTACTACTTACCCTATATTATTTCTCTATTAAGTAGTGACCATATTATTGGCCATTCATAATGGGTCATGGACGTTCTTCTTCTTCCTCAATGCCAGAAATTGAGGAACGAAAACAATGCAAAACTAAAGTGGGTGGCGATTGTTTTACATTGTTGAAGAGTTCAAAAGAAGAGGAATAAAGCTGGTTACAAATTCTACTCGCTTGGAAGCGTTGTTTGTGGCTGCAAAATTTGGTGCTGTTTTATTGGAAGAAGTTATAGGATGAAACTAAACCCCCTGAGATTTAATAAAATTACAAGATCCCCCTTGATATTTCAGAAATAACAAAAATTCCCTTTTCGATACTTAGCCTTTAGTACATGGTTAGATTTTATGATATAAAAGGTTCATAAATATTTTACCTAATTGTCCCTCTGCCTTTTATTTTGACACCAAAAATTAAAGATCGAGGTTCTTTTGTTATTTTTATAACCTACAAGGGGATTGTTGATAGTTAATTATACCTAATGGGAATTTATTTTATTAACCCTAAAGAAAATGGTAAAGAGAGAGAAGAAAAGAGAAAACTAAAATGGGTGTAAAAAGAACATTATCTCTGAAGAATATTGAAGAAGAAGCAGAAAAGTGTTAGAGATTGAATAAGGAATTGGAGGAGTTTATACAGAAGAAATTAGGTAGCCTTCTTATACAAAAAAGGTTGTAAGCTAGTAATCTAAGTAAGAATCACAATCATCTTTCATTGCCAGGAAAAAAAAAAAAATCAAAGCAAAATTCATAACAGATAAAGACCATGCAAGAATCAACTTGGAGAAGAATATATCAACGAGTGAAGAAGAGATGAAAATAGTTGAAGAGAGAAAGAAAAAGGGATTTATTTGGGTTGTCGAACAGTGTCTTGAAATATCAAAGATGAGTTTGAGCAAGTGGAAAATGACTGGTAATTCATGTTATTGGAGGGTGGAATGAAGTGAAGAAGAGGAATAAACTTGAGAAAAACCAGAAGATTCAAGTTTGGTCTTTTAGGGTTGATGAAATGCTTTGTGAGAGTGGCAATTACAAGTCCAAGTATAGGATTCATCGAAGCTAAGTGTCATTCACCTAAAACACTGTAATTGTTTAAATTTGCTTTTAAGATTCATCAAAAGATAAGTACCATTCAACGCACATCTATTAACCCAAACTTGTTTTATGAAAACAAAAATTAACCTAGACTCATATTAAACTGTCCTATAATGGAAGCATAAAGAAGACTCCCAAATAACTGCCAAAAGCTAAATTTAGTTAAAATCCAAAATCTGCTCCATATGAACTTCTGTACACTATTGGTTTGAGGCAGTGATATACTGTAAATGCAAAGTTTACATAAAAAGAACACAAAAAGAGAAATTATGAAACTTCCCCTGTTGATACTAAACTGTGTCTATACTTGCTTCTATGAAGGTATCTCATGGAAACTAAAGTATATTCTCCTCTATTTTCACAATGAATATCACTTTTTCTTTGTAATAAGTACTGCTACATGCACATAACATGCGAAGACTTTATTCCATTTTCAGAATTCAGATTTTACAACAATATATTCTGGATTTATTGTTACAATAAAGTTAACACTTCGAATAAAAAAAAAAAAACATACATTTCCAGAACTGAAACCGACAATATTCTCAACAAACATACTCGTACAAACATATCAACTCAAATACAACAACCATGACCAGAAGTGCTTGGTTGCCTCGTGTCTTCCCAAACATCACCTGCTGAAAAAAACAAAAGTAAAAAATTACTAAAATAAGCTTAAAGATAACTAACAATTACAAACAATATCATAATTTCAAAGACATGGTTTAATTAATTCTATGGAATCATGCAATACTGACTAAGAAATATACTTACATTTTTTTTTTTTCATGGATTTCTTCTACCTTCCAGTTCTTCTAACAATATTTTGTACTCTGGCTTCAACCATTCTTACGAGCCACCTAGGTTTACCCGTTGAGAATACAATGTATCCTATGGACAAACCAATCACCACCCCACTTCCATAACCCATCATCGCAATTTTCCAATCAAATTCACTTGAATTATCATCTTCTCCTTCTGAAAATGCAGGTGGTAATTGCGGCCTCGGATCATTGTTGCATTTCGTTGGCAATGGCCTTCCACACAATCCTTTGTTCCGGATGAAGTAATCACTTTCAAATGTCTCAAATTGACCGCCTTGAGGGATGGGTCCCGAAAGTTGATTATGGGAAAGATTTAATAAAGAGAGGAATGTAAGACTTTCCAATTGCACAGGAATTCTTCCACCAAGCTTGTTTGAAGAGAGATCTAATGATTCAAGAGCAATTGAATTCCCCAATGAAGATGGAATATTACCTGTTAGGCTATTGTGAGCAAGATTGAGCACTATGAGTGATTTGAAGTTTCCAAGAATTTCAGGAATCTTTCCCTCAAAATTATTGTGTGACAGATCAATGGATGTAAAAATCGTTAGTATCCTAGTCATTTCAATATCCCGCCCTTTCATTGTCACAACTACGGAATCTTTATAATAATCATCTCCAATATATCTGACGTCAGATTCATTATTCGAAATAAGCATCATTGCTCCCAAATTTTCAAACAAATTTCTGGGCAAAAAACTTTTGAATTCATTGTGAGAGAGGTCTAGAATCTGCAAGTTGGAGAAATGAAATAGAGTTTTGGAATCCTGTATGGGACCATAAAATTTATTAGACCTCAAGACAATAACTTTCAGATTCCAAAGAGTTCCAAACCAATAAGGAAATATATCACTTATCTTGTTATTTCCGACATTCATAACCTCCAGTTGGCTACAATTTCCCAAGGATCTAGGCAAACGCCCTTCCAACTCATTTCCACTTAGATCAAGACTCACCAACGAACTTCCATTTGCAAATGTATCAGGAATGCTACCGTGAAGATTATTCTTCTGCAGGTGCAACATAACAACCCCCATGTTCCCGAAACATTGTGGAATTCTTCCATACAAATTGTTATTAGACAAGGAAAGATACTCAAGGGAACTCAAATTGCAAATAGGTGGTGGATCAAAAAGTGATCCTTGGAGCATGTTGTTTGAAAGATCAAGAGTTCGAATATCCCTCCAAGGATGATCCTCTATATACGTCAGGAAATTTTGGGAAAGATTCAGATAATCCAAATTCTTAATTCCTCTCGACTCAGATTTCAAAATCCGACCCTGAATTTTATTGTTGGAAAGATCTAAATACTCCAAATTCTCTAAGGTTCTCAAGTTACTGGGGAATTCACTTATGTTGCAAAAAGACATTGTGAATGATTCAAGATTGGATGAGGTATTTTTGACACGGTTGTTGGAACTAAATGATAATAGGCTATTATATGAAAGAGAAATCCACTGAAGGTTTGTCAGTTGTAGTAATATGTCCAACTGGAGAGTGCCACTGAAGTTATTTGATGAAAGATCAAGATGAGTGAGTTTCACAATTTAAACATGGAACTTGGAATTGAACCACTTATCTTATTATTACTCAAATCAACATCAGACAATGAATTAGACGGCTCGAATTGTTCAATAGGAGCGGAGAATGTATTATCACTGAGTCGTAAAGTCTGCAAAGATGGCAAACTGAACAACTCCGGTGGTACTTTACCGCTGAGAAAGTTATGAGACAAGTCTATGTCGGTTAAATACGGACGACGACTCACATGATAAGGGAGAGGACCACTAAAATTATTCCATGAAGGACTTAAAAATGTCAGCTTACTAAGGTTACCAAAATTTGGAATCTGACCTGCCAACGAGTTCCATGAAAGCTGTATATGGGTAAGCTGCTCTAGCTTCGACATTGATGATGGGACTTGACCGGTTAAAGCATTTTCATCGAGCCACAAATCGGTGAGTTGAGTGAGGTTCCCAAATGATGCTGGAATTGGCCCTGTGAAAGAACAACTTGAAAGAAATATTCCTTCCAAGAATTTTAAGTTTCCAACTGCATGCGGTATTTCTCCTTTGAAACTTGTGAAGAGAGATCCAACAACCTGAGTGGACTGCTCCAATTGGACTGCGGAAAAAACCCCGTTAGATTCCTGTTAACAGATAAACGGAGTATGTGAAGGTTTGGTAGGTATTAGAGGACAATCTGATTCCTCTGATTATGACCAAGATATTAGTGATTCTCCACAATTATGACCAAGATATCAGTGATTCTCCACAACTGTAGCGCTTTACTTCCTTGTATATTTGTTTCCATATTTGTAGTTGTACAACTACCTTGTATCTTCTGTCTATAAATGAATATCTCCTCACAGCATATTTTGCTGAGGCATTTCTTTACATGGTATCAGAGCCAATAGGTCAACCCTTTGCTAATCTTTTTTTTTTTCATGGCTGAATCCAACACTTCCCTGCTTCCGCTCAATACAATGGTTCACATGGTGACCATCAAACTCACTCCCACAAATTATCTCTTGTGGCGTCGTCAGTTTGTTCCCTTGCTTGAAAGTCAAGAGCTTATGGGCTATTTGGATGGGTCTTTGTCTGCACCTGCTACTCAAGTTCATG